CCCCCCCCCCCCCCCCCCCCCCCAACACACACACACACACACACACACACACACACACACACACACACACACACACACACAAGCACATTTTCATCGTTTGTCGAGCAGAGTCTCGACCAGATAATACTCGCCATAAAAATGTAACAGTGTGACTTACAATGTTCAAGCAACACCTCGCGCCGCAAATTGTCATCCAGGGACGCAATCATCGAGGCCATGTCCATTTCAGCGGGTCCACTGTGCTCCGAGCCTGCAGCTGCTTCGTTGCCACCTTCGTTAGCCTGTTGCTCGCGGCGCATACGCTCCAGTGCTTGGCGCTCTTGTGCCAGAACCTCACGCTGGAGGTCTGGCGGCAGAGCCGCCAAAAACTCTGGATTACAGCAGTTCAGCGTCTCAACAGGCAGTTGCGGCATTTCTCGCACCATGGCCTGCGCCTGGAGTACCTCTTGACGAATGTCCTCGGGCAGCAAGGACAATAGCTCATTTTCGTATTCGAGTGGCGGATCTCCAGATGCCGCACCAGGTGGAACGGCTGCTGAGCTGTCCACCGGGGCCGCGGATGCACCTGTTGCTGAAGCAACAGCAGTGCCGGCCACGCTCGCGGTGGCATCATCCGGTGCACTTGCCGTTTCCTCGCTGCCCACAGTTGAAGGCTCTGGCTCGGCACGAGAAACGCGCACGCCTTCTTGGTCTTGCCCTGACGGAGAAACAGAAGCAGGCTCAGATTCTCCAACCTCGGTCAAAGGCGCGGTTTCGGTTGGAGCCGCGCCTTCACCGTTTGTAGTGGCTGATGACGTGGCTTCAGTCTCCTGAGCAGCGTCGCGTGGTTCCTCCTTGGCAGCCTTGTCCTGCGCGGCTTTGGCTTCACGTTCAATCTTGGCTTTGGCCTCGCGCTCAGCCGAGGCTTTCGCCTGATCTTCACGAAACCGTTTCGTCAAGCGCACAAAAACTTGCAAGCATGCATACTGAAGAGAAGGGCCCACTGGACCCTCGATGACGTCCATCTCTGTCTTGAGTCGTTGCTCGGGCGTGGGTCGCTGTACCACAGGGCGTTGTGAAGAGTTGGGGTCTCGAATCTCCACATTGAGACCTCCATCGGTCACGCGCGCAATCATGGGCTCATTGTTGCCATCGTAGATGTGCACGTCGGCGGCGCGGTTGGTGCGACGTAGACCATCCAGCTGGCCACTGCGAAGCAGCTCCTGGACGGCTGCCAACGCGCGCTCATCACGACGGGCTCCGCCACGCGCGCGGTTGCTTGTGGCTTCTGCCATGGCGCCACCCCCACGGTTAATGGACATTGCCAACATGGAATGCATGGCTGGCAATTCGGCTTCGGCGCTGGCGTTGGTCGTTTGTTCACGTCGGACGTCCAGAGGATGCCCTCGGCGGCGCTGGGCGTTGCGACGATGAAGGCCACTTCCCATACCAAGGTTGAGCTCGGACCGATGCCAAGGGTCTCGAAGAGCATGTGCGTCCTCAAAGTCCAGAGCTGGTTCTTCGTCGTTAGATGCTTCGCTTTGCAACTCCGCATCATCGGCGTGCAAGTTGACAAAGTCATCGAATTCTTCGTCCTCGTAATAGGACTCCTCCTCCATGCCACTCCGGAAGTACATCTCATCCTCTAAATCATCTTCATCCTCATCTTCATCAAAGTCCATGTCATCAAAGCCTTGCTCGCCCTCACCACCGTCCTCAGAAGCGCCCTCGTAGATCTCAACCTCCACTGCCCCGTCGTCCAGCACGTCATCATCCGCAGGCTGCATATCGTCGGCTTCATCGTCATCCCCATGATGGTGGTGGCGACGGTGATGGTGGTGGCGCTCATCGATAACGTCATCGTCATCGTCTTCCGCGTCGTCGCCGTCCTCATCCTCGTAGTAGCCTTCGCCAAATCCGGCTGCTCCAGCGTCCCCTGGGCCAGCAATCTCCACCTCCACCTCCATTGCCATGGGGCCATCCTCTCCGTTGGCATCACGAGCATTCATAGCGTCGATAATTCCCCGAACCAGCATGGCATCGAACTCATCCTGGGCTTCGCCATCTGGCCCATCCTCGCCATCATCGTTGTCACCGTCGTCGTCGTCGTGATGATGATGATGATCATCATCATCATCATCATCGTTGTCGTCATCATCAGCACCATCCCCGTCGTGCTCATCGTCGTCGTCTTCCTCTTCTACATGTCCATGCTCGTCTTGCTCCTCATCGTGGTCCTCGTGATCATGGCCGTAATCTTGCGACTGATCCATCAAGTCAGCATCGTCGCGACCGCGAGCGTTAGCCCCTCCTCGCTCCATGGCACTCATGGACTCCATTGCAGCAGAGAAGGCGTCTGATACGGTACGTGAAGCAAAATCATCCTCCTCGGTGGCCACGCCTTGTGCCTTTCGCTACAAAGGAAAACGGGCGAGGTGCGGTAGAGCGGGGTAGCAAAATGTGAGGTGAGCAATTCCTTCAACTGCATTAAAAAGTGCGACACAAGAAAATGTCACCCATGGCAAGCTCAGTCAGGAACAACTAATGCAGTCTACTTACATCAGCCATCTTGGCAGCTTGCACCCAGGCGGGGCGCGCATGGCGCGTCAACTGCTCCAGCACGACTGCGACGGATTCGACAAAATAATCCATCTTGGGATTGTTCAAATCTTGTTGCACGGCTGCCTCGAGAATGATTTCTGGTAGTTTTTCCGCCACGAACCGGCGGCCAGCGAGTGCCACGTTCTTGCAAATGTCCGTCACCAAGAGGTTCAGGGCCTCGCACTGGTCAATGACGGGCATATGAACGGCCAAAGCGTCCATAGCTCGGTATTGTTCACAGATTTCACGCACCACACCTTCCTCGGCTGCATCACCGGCGGCTACCAAATTGTGCAAAATGTTTTTGGCCTGCTGAATCGCGGCGCTGTGCACCTCGGCACCCACGGTGCCAGGCTCAACTTTGACAAAACTCTTGCGCAAAATGATGTGTCGGATGACAAAGGCAATCAGAGATACCGAGCCCGAGGAGAGGGGCACATTGCAGTGCAACAAAGTTTGCCCGACGTGCTTGTAGGTGCCCACCAGCTCCGCAATATAAGAGAGCACCTTTGGCAGAGAAATGGCTTTGACTGCAGAAGCGCGAGCGCCGATTTCAAGCTCTGTCTCGGCGCTGGTGGGCTTTCGAATGGGGAAGAGGCTTCCGTCGTGGTTCTCGCGAAGCTGGCTCTTCTCGTGCCAATCGCGCATGTCATCGTAGCGTGCAGCCAGCACCACACATAGTCGTTCACAGACGGCCTGTTGCGCTGGGGACTCGCCACAAGCCTTCCAAAGAAGTTCTGGGTTGCCACGCAGGCACACCGAGGCGTTTTGCGCTTGTGTGGTGGCCTCCTTTAACTTCAGAACATGGGCGCAAGCTTCCACAAAGGCTGGTGTGTCACGCAACACTTGAGGCTTGAAGTTGCGCAGGAGCTGTTCCAGATTGGATGTGGCGCCGTTACGCAGGGCTTGCGACTGGGCCAAAGTCTCAGCAAAGTGTGCCGTCAGTGCCCGAGGCTCCTCGACTGCATGACGCAGCAGGAGAGCCAAGGAAGCACTAAAGCCAGTATAAACTTGGCCTTGCGAGATATCAAGAAGCTCAGCAAACCCGGGCGACTCCACCAAGGCTTGAGCCAGCTCAACATCGCGCGTGACACGGATCAAAAGGCGTAGGATAGCGTCTGAAGTGGGATGGTCCAGCTGGCAGCTGAGCCAGGAAGCCAGCTGAGTGACCACGGGCGCTGCATGGCACCAGACGGGCTGCGATGTAGGTTCCATATCCGCGGGACCCACAAGTTCCGGTAAAACGTAATCAGCGGCTTTCTGGGAAGCATCTTGCATGGGTATGCGTCGCACGCTACGCCCAGAGCCCGTGGTTTTGTTGACCTGCTGCATGGCCATGAGATCAACGGCATATTGCCGCCCTTCAACCTCGAGGTCCACCGTCGTTGCCATGTTGCTGTATGCCAGTTCCAATTTGATTTGTGAGGCTTCGTTGTAGTCACTCCACATAGTGCGCCAGGTGTTGCGCTGATGGGCAAACTGCCACATGTGAGGACGGTGATCGGCAGCGGCTTGACGGCGTGCTAGAGCCACCACTTGATCCGTGCGCTGCAAGCGCTCGAGTTGATCCAGCAGGAGAACAGCTGAGGCTAACCAAACCGGACAACCTACTCGATCCTTGGGCACAGAGCAAGCGTGGATCAAATCCAGAACTTTCTCGGCCAAAGAGGCAAGATCCTCAATCTTGCCCGAAGTCACCATAAGGTACAGGCGCAACATGACGTCGAGATGGCGACTCGTGCTGCTGTATACCAGAGAATCAAAGGCAGCGCCTTGAAGTGAAGCCAACTCTTCATCCAACAATGCCTTGACCTTGTTTTGCAAATCAAGACGAAGCTCGGCGCCGGTCCCATCCAAGTCATGCGAGATGAGATACATGACCCATGATGCCACCGTGTTGATGATGACAGGTTGCGCGCTGATAATCTAGAACCCAAGGCGCAGATCGAAGGGAAGTCGAAGCGAGTGAGTGCAAGACACGAAATAACAAATTTCCGCATGAGAGAGAAGAGAAGAGCGTGCGCACATGGTATGATTCCGCACACACAGCAACGTACCGCAAGCATGGTATCGAAATTGCCCTTAGCCAAGGAAGACATGGCAGCCTTGAGTTCGTCGTGAACTTTTTGCTCTTTTTCTTGTGCAACCCGCTGCTCCTCGCGAGAAGATTGGTCCGGGTCATCACCACCTCGTGGCATGGACAATAGACGACGAGATACAGATGGGCTGGAATCGTCGTTGTCGGCGGCGGTATCCATCTGACTTGACGATGCGGCATTTTCTTCGGCACGAGGAGCACTCTGATCGGCAGCATTGGTCGCAGAAGAATTTGCGCTGTCGCTCGGGCCCTCGTCAGCGCTTGAACCTGCCTCTGCACCACCTCCTTGCATGGACATGGCGATTGCACGCGCAAACATGGCAGCTTCATCCTCCTCGTCCTGGTCTTCGTCCTCGCCTTGGGCTTCAGGCTGCTCGGGCTCAGGCTGGGCCCCGGTGGCTTGTGCTGAGTCGGCAGAGAGGTCGGTATTCGCAGCAGCACTTCCTCCCCCTCCCACATTGCCACCTGTTTCACTGGAAGCTTCGTTCGTGCTGGGTGCAGTCGCCGAAGCCGACGCGGTTCGGTTAGGCTGGGGATCATCCGGTGGGATTGTGCCTTCAAAAATAATGTTGACGGCGGCAGACACGTCGTTGCGCGAACGACGCAGCGCTGTGCGAGCCTGGTAAGCCGTAAAGCCCATCTCCTGAATGTGACGCACCAACTCTTCGTCAACCTCTACCTCGGGGGGAGGTGGCGGTGCAGCTGGTGTTCTCAAGCCAGCCAGAGCACCCAGACCGGATGCAGGCATGTCCCCAAGCAATCTGCTGCGTGCGGCTTGACGTTCGCCAAAGAGATGATCAAAGAAAAGGCTGCCGGGAATGGGCTGCTCCTCGCCGGGATTGGTAGCAGCCATCCAAGAGGTCAAGCCACCACGAGCACGGCTCTCACGAGCGCGATGAGACTTGGAAATCTCCTCATAGCGGGCGCAGGTATGAAACAACTGGCGAGTCAAGAGGCAGAGCCCCTCCAGAAGTTCAAGCGATGCGAAGCGAATGCTGTCATGCGTCCAAAGCAATTGCAGTTGCTCAATAAGCTCACGCCAGATGCCTTCGCGCTCCATCAGGCGCAGGTGCTGAACGTCGCTCGCTGATGCGCCCTCCGCCAGGTTCACGTCGAAGAGTGTACGAAAGCAGTTGAGTAGCTCACGCAAGTCATCTTGGTAACGCCGCTGTGCGTAGCAAGCTACGCCACGCTGAAAGCACCAGGCACAGAGGTCGTAGTTTTGCACCTCTGAGTGCCAAGCAAAGCGATCATTGCGATTCGTATCGCAGAGATCACAGCGCCAGGCTCCAGAAGATGTCGGCTGCACGCGAATGGCGTCCATCAGACGCAGGGGGTGGGGATGTACCTCAACCCGCACCTTAACGTCTGTCGGCCAGTCCGCCACACCGAATCGCGGGTTGGGCACATACGTGGAGTCCGGGTCAGGCTGTGATAGGCCCGAGTGATCAGGTACGCTTTGCCCAAAGAGCTGGACAAGGGACGTCAGACAGCTCATAGCAGTACGGAAACCCCCTATTTCGGCAAAAAGCTGAAGTGCACGCTGATCCTCCGATTGCATCTGGCCTGAGCGAAAGGTAAAAATCAACTCTTGAGCCACAAGAATGGAATGGTGCAGACTGTCCAGGTGGCGCAGAGATGGGGAGTCTTGCAAGGCCGTGACACAGCCTTGCAGGTTGTTGACGGCATGTTCAATCACAAAAGACATGACGCCCTCGTTTTTGTCTTGTGAAGGACGGCGGCGACTCATCATGAGGTGACGCGCACGTGTTTGCGACAGGGATCGCTCCAGAAACTTGACGTAAAAGCTACGAGCGTGTTTCAAGAGATCAGCCAAGCCAAACAGCCGGTAAATGTCCAAGTACTGTGTGCCTGGCGTGAGCAAGGCCTCTCGTTCAGCTCGCAGCTTCAAGTGCTTGGTCCGCAGCTGGAAAGGAACATACACGCGGCGGGCCGCTGATGTTAGGCAACTCGCTGCATTGATGACTCGGCCTAGACGTGGCATGATGCCCATATTCATCAACTTGGCCCAGAGTGCAGAATGTCGCTCGGAGTGGTCTCGCGCGGCAGGGCGACTGTTCACAATGCTCGAATAGAGCTGTAGATAGGCCAGTAGCCGCGTCCAAGCCAGCTGCCAAGACTCAAAGCTCTGTAGAATGTTGGGCACCAGGTGGTTGCTAGGAGTTTTGAGGAGCTCAGCACAGCGCTCATCCATGGCCGTCACCTCTCGGTTGAACGCTTCATGAAGCGCGGCTGAGTCGTAGTCGGGATGATTGGCCGAGAGAGTCGCTGCTGAAACTACGGCTTTGAAGCAAGACGACTCGTACAGATCGTACGGCAAGGTGGGTAAGGTCAGAAGCTCCATGAGCTTTGATGCCACGTCGGCCTGGGCCAGATGTCTGGTGTGATGATCGTGCGGACTGCTGCTTTGCATCGCATCGATCAAGTGAGCAGCGTTGGCCATGTAATCCAACAGGGGCAAATGGGTGCGCGTGTCAGTTGATGATGAAGCAGAGGCGACTGCCGGGGAAGGACCACTGTCCACCTCCATAGCCGTGCTAGGAGTAGGTGAGCCGTCCTCTGGCCAGCGACCGAGCTCTTGCTCTGTGAGGCCTTCCTCGAGACGAGTCTTACGCATACGCTTCAACCCCGCATCTGAACCCGGGGTGATGAGGTACTGCCCGCTATCACGTCCCTTGGCGATCAAGTTGTCAAGAAGCGTCTGCAGAGCGGCCATGCCCGCGGGACGCAAACGCGGTTGGTAACGCCAGAGTTCGTCCAGGGCGGCGCCCACGGCGCTTGCATTATCACCACCAAGACAAACGCGGTACTTTTCCTGCGTGAAGAGCTCGATTATCGCATCAAAAGGACGGGCCTCCTCCAGCACGTCAAGCAACTGTCCATTGAGGACCAGGGATGAGAGCACCGAGGGCAAGCTGACGATGGCATCCGCAGAGGCAGGGATGCGTCGCTCACGAATGACATCCAGCACAGTCTCAAGCATACCCGACTCCTGAAGTACTGAAACGAGATTGGGTTCTGCATTAGCAAAGTCAATCAGCCAGCGCGTGACGAGGCACCAAACCGGGGTACCAAAGGCCTGTTCGTTACGGAGAATGGCATCAAAGTCGGCCAAAAGGGTGCCGCTTAGCGCGTTGCGCTGTAGCGTGGCAAAAGGTTGCCGAAAGCCCAACTGAGAATGCAGGCGCAAAAGCATCTTGAGAAGTGATTTACGCTCTGCAGACAGCGGGATGGCCGCTTGACTTTGAAGGATTGCGCTGCCCTGCGCTGCAGGAGTGCTCTTCTCCAATGGAGTCTCGGGCGCCACTTGATCCATGACTTGGTGCATGACATGGGATACGGAACGGCGCAGGTGGTCATCTTCGACCGTGCCGACGGCAGCCAGCACCTGTTGATGAATCGTCTCCAGAGTGGACTCAAAGATGCGCGTATCCACCAGTTCAGGTCCATGGCGATCCACGCTGGCAATGTGCAGGATGCTCTCAATCGTGCGCGCTGCACGGGTGGCGAACTTCACATTCACTGGGTTCTTGAGGATATTGGAGAGGGTTCTGAGTACGCCAGAGCGCATAAAGCTCTGACCACCACGAGGAAAGGCCACAATCAGTTGCACGACCGAAAGGACACCGAGATAGAAGCGCTGCTCGATCGGATCATCGAGGGGTTCGGCCTGTTTGCTACCCTCCGAGGGTGAGAGGCGCTCGTTCATCTGCCTCAAAAGGGTGGGGATCAAGCCGTGCGATTGACCCACGCCACACTCTGTGAGTACCGCTTCGGCAGCCACTTGTGCCTGAATCAGGGACTGCAGTAGGCGAAAGCCTGCCACTCGAATGATGGCTGGAATGTCGTTGTTGCCAAGCATCTCAACGAGTTCCGAGACCCCAGAGGAGGGACTGGCGGCGTAATTTGCTGCGATACCGCTGGCATCGTAGCCGCCGTTGGCCGAGCACATAACCAAGGCGCTGGTTGCCAGGATGTGAATTTGGAGAAGTTTGCGGCGCTCCTCGAGTCTGTGAAAGTTGTGTCGAACTAGCAACTGGAAAAGAAGCTCAAAATGGTACTTGGGCGGCACTTTGAAGTCAGCCAAGCAGTCCTCGAAGAGTTTGCGCGTTGGTCGTGGGTCTGCATCGAGGTTCGGGCGCCGGATGCTGAGGGGTCCCTGACGAGCCGCGTCCGTGGGGTCGTCTCCTTGATTGATGAAGAGGTCCATCTGTGCATCCGAGACGCCCTCGGGAAACTCATCCGTCGGCTTCAAGCAAATGTCCACTAAAACGTGGGTATGACCGCCACGCCCCCATTTCTAAAAGTATGGGGAAAAGTGATGCGATGACCCGTTGCATGTTATCATCACGCGATGAGTTGAGTGAGGCAAGCACGTCGCCTCCAGGTCAAACTGGAGGTTATTGGCTTACCTTGGCCAGACATTGCAAGCGAGCAATAAGAAGGGCGTCCAGGTCACGATCGTCAATCTCGCGATGGCGCCCCAGAGTGGCGAGGAGATGCACCACGGCCAGCATCAAGTCGCAATCATCCGTATTCATCAACGCGAACAAAAGCTATGTTTCAACCACGGTGTGGTTCGAACGGCAAACACAAGAATAAGTTGTATAATGATCGAGAAGGGCTTGCGCATGCACGAGGGAAGGGAATGGGAAAAGAAGGGAACAAACACACACGCACACACACACACAATTTACAAGCCATATTTTTGGCACCAACCTTGGTGCAAGGCCACGCCGAGACATGCTTTGTGGCCACAGATTCAAAAATCAGGCGCACAACGCGAAGGCACGCCAAAATCAACTGACGTTGCTCCTATTGCAAAGACCAAAGGCGCCACGCAAATGAAGCCACGCTGGCCCGGATGTCCAAACAATGGGACTTGGAGCGGGACTCAAACCTCATCACGGAATTGAATAAAGGGCAAAGGCACTGTGTGCAACTGATTGCTGCGGAGCGCGGTGTCCGTGTAATAGGGTAGTTGAGAAGCAAAGTCTTCCAAGATCGCATCGAGGCGATCGATACAAGGAGCCCAGCTGTACACGTCATCCTGCAGTCAAAAACCAGGCAACAGAGTGACTCCTCCGCTCATTGTGGGCACCCGAGCATGTTTCAACGGTGACGAGTTCAACGTACGCGCGAGCGCGGGACGTCGTCGATGCGCTGCAAGACGTGAAGGAGGTCTTCGTCCTTGGCCTGCACGATATCATTGTAGACCTCCAACGCACCTTCCGTCTGCGCCAACATGCAGTCACAGCATGTAAGATCACGAGCGGCAGAAGCGTGCGTGTGAGGTGTATCGCAGGCCACCGATCAAAATCAAATCGCAAACTTACCAGCTCAAGACTGCGGCGGTCTTCAGGCACGCGGACCTTCATGACGCTGGGTCACGGCACACGCCCCAAGTGGAGCGTGTGCGTGCCGGGCGTGACAACGACACAAAAATATTTCCCAAGAGCTTGCAAATAAAGAAGTCGGTACTCAAAAGGGATGACGAGCTTGCAAAATGAAGGCCGGCAACTGGGGCAGGGGAGCAACGCAAGCTTTCGGAGGAAGGTGGCTGTCGGGCAGACAAGGCCAACCAGTCGATGAGCAAGCCGACAACTTCCGCAAACATGTGCCACAGGAGTGGTCGGGGCTGGAAAGGGAACGAGTTGAAGGAATGTGCAATGCGGTTCCTTTATGATATGAATGACGTGGGTGCGTTGTGGAATAAAGATGTGCTTCTCGCTCCCGTCAGCCACTTCTTGGGCGATACGAGCTATTCAACCCGGGCTAGGTATTGTGTATCCCCAACGGAAAAGTGATGCCTCATTAAATAGCATCCCCTTTCCTCTGCTATGCCGATGGTGGCAGATGAACTTTTGGTTCCAATGCGAGCGCTGCTTTACCTGAAGCTGCCTTTTGTCGGCCTCCGCCTGACTGCTCGTGAAGTGCAAGGCAGACATGCATCAGTGAGAAGAGGGCTCGAGACAACCAACCCAGCCGTGAGCGCGGCATTCCAAAAAAGCACACACGAGACCGGTCTCCAAACCAGCGAACAACCAACGAACAACGTCACAAATGCATTACCGTCGAGCGCTGCCGTTTGCCCTCCTGGACCAGTGTCGCAGAAAACGAACGAAAGCGTGTGTGACGCAAAAGTCGCCAGCGAGAACAAAATACTGAACTGAAGCGCAAGGACGGTAAAGGTAGCTTGAGTCTTGTGGCTTGAGTCTTGAGGAGACTAAGAGACTGGGAGATTAAATGAGGCTTCAACTGTTGTTGTGTGTTGTGCGTGATTCAAGTTGTTGTTTGCTTACAGATGATGGGGGAAGTTGGAGCTGTTCCAAGGCGCGAGGTAAGGATGGAAGTCATTGGTCTTTCAAGGCGCCGTGCTTTTTCTCCCTCTTGGTTGGGTAGTTGAACCCATGAGCCGGCCGACGCGCTGGACTGAACTGATAATGTGATGATTGACAGTGAAGGAACGTGGTATGACATCAGATAATCATAATAATGCAAGAAGAATAAAGACTTGGATGCTTAGTTTTGAACTTGAATGGCGAATAACGGTGTGAACATGCCAAAGCTCAACCAAACAAGTGATAATAACGCCGTGCCAGGCAGATATTAGCACGCAGGAGCAGCAGCAGCAGCCATTGTGCGACATGACTGTCAAGGTGTGATGGCTTGACTGAGGTCAGGCAAGATAAACGCGCGCTTCGGAGGGCTGCCTGTCGGCGGCGCTTGAGCCGGGGCTGGGGGTGGGGTGGCAACCCGATCCTGCTTGGTGACAGTCGCGGGCTCTGGCATGGATGCAGTTGATGGTTGCTCTATCAGTCCACTAGAGGCACTGGCTACAATCGACGGTTGCGAAGAATCTACCCCAAGAGGCTGTGCGAATGGCATGGCCGCGCTCGCAGGTTGTCCGCCTACCGAAGCGGTAGGTACCACTGGCTCGGGGTCCCCGGATGATGGCTTGAGCGAAGCATCGGCCAAAGCCTCGCGTGGCTCCTCGGTCGAGGCTTCTGTTGGGGGATTAGTTGGCCCCTTGGCCGATACCTCGCTTGGTGTCTCGATTGGGGGCTCAGTGGTGGTCTTGCTTGCAACAGCAGTGGCTGTGGCCTCAATCTTGCTAGGCTCAGCCGTTGGCTCAGCCACGGACTCGGCCACGGGCTTTGCCGGGGCATCCCGTTCTATCGCTGGCTGGACTTCAGATGAGGCCAGGGCGATGGATTGAGCAGGCTGCGGACTTGGGGGGCGCGCGGCCTCGTTCGAGGCTGGCACACTGCTCGAATCGGCCATAGGAGCAGACGTGTGGTCAGGTGTGGGTTCTGCAGGAGCCACTGTGGTGGGGGAGGCTATCGCTTGCGCTTCAGATCCGGCCATTAGCGTGAGCGGGGGATTGACGGCAGCCATGGGAACTTGGCCCGGCAAAGGCATGTGGGATGGCCCTGCGTCGGTCATTTGAGTCTCCATGGAAGCAGGCGGTGCAGGTTTGGATGTTGTGGGCTCCGGTTCGCTGCGGGCGGGCGTCTTGGTGGGTGGCTCGTCTTCGCTGGGCGCTGATGCTCGCTTGGCAGAGTCCTTTGCACTGGGAACATGTTGAGCCGTTGACGGCGTCGTCGCCGCGTCCCCGCTCGACGTGGGTGCAGGCAATGCGGATGAAATGGCCTTGGGTGATGTCTTTGAGGCTTTACTTGATGATCTGGATCCTGTCGTCTTGGACGAGCCAGCTTTGGACGAGCCAGCTTTGGACGAGCTTGCTTTGGACGAGCTTGCTTTGGACGCACCCGTCTTGGACGAGGCTGACTTGGCTGCCTTGTGGGAGCGCTTGCCGTTGGTGGACTGACTCGCTGTGGTATTGTTTGTGGAGGCGCCTGCGGTAACACCGGTCGCGAGATCAGAGCTGGCGGAGGATGCACGCCGACTGGATTTTGTGCTCGACTTGGCCTTGTGGCTTCGCTTGGCCTTGGCGTCTGCTTTGGCCTTGCTCTCGGCTTGTGCGGCCAGCTCCGGCGGCAATGGGGCCGCTCTACCAGCGGAAGATGCCATCCGAAGCGAATCGAGCCATGAAATAGATGAGACGCGTGTGGAGCGTGCAGGTCAAGGAAAGAGGGCTGCCACAAGCCAGATCACAGCAAAGCCAAGTGCAAGTGCTGGCAGGCACATACTTGGCATCTCGAACAGCCTTGATGGCAGCCTTGTATTTCTGCATCAAAAGCTGTTCTAGTCTACACGCGCACCCAAAGATCAAAGAGTGAGCAGAAGCATGAGATGAAGCACCCTTGGTCATGTCTCATCCAGGGAATACGGGCTACAAAGGATGGACAAATCATCACAGCCACCAAAGATACAATAGCACCAACCTCCCCCCTTCCAACCCTTCCTTCAACATATCAAACATTGGTTCAGACAGCGAGCGAGCGAACATGGGCACCCTTTTCTACCATGATCTTGGGCCAACCAGATCCCGATGCAATGGAACTGACTCTTCTGGAGAGACATCGACACGTTGACGTGCTTGAATCTTGAGAAGGCGGTTGTAATGGCGAGTCATTTCGTCGCAAAGTTGCTGGTCGAGCTCTGTCTGCATGGCCTTCATGAGCAACTGCAGGGCACGGCTCTTGCCGCTCTCGTCCACCATGCCGGCCTCAACTTGAGCTCGACGCGCGGCTGCCACGTAGGGGTCCTCGACCTTGTCTGCATCACCTTTGTTCGGGCCCGAATCATTGCCCGGCTTTTTGGACCGAGCCTTGCTGGCCGGTGAGGCGGGCGGCCCAGTCGAGGCCATGGCAAAGCGATGGGTTTGTCTTGGGCAGGGACGCTTGGTGGGCACCAATATCAGTGCACCAAGCAAAGCCCAACCGCTCAACCTGCCACTTGCATCTCCTTTCTCCAGGGGACACACACACACACACACACACACGACGACAAGCGCAAAAAGTTCAGCGGTCAACCACCACCACCAAGAAAAGCGCAGGCGGGCAGGCGAGAAATAAGAGACACAAGAGACAGACTTGAACACACACACACCCTTCTCTCTCTCTCTCTCTCTCTCTCTCTCTCTCTCTCTCTCTCTCTCTCTCTCTCTCTCCCTCTCTCTTTCTCTCTCTCTCTCTTTCTCTCTTTTCTCTCTTTCTCTCTCAAGCTCTCACTCAAGCTCTCACCTCTCAAGCTCTCTTTCTCTCTCTCTCAAGCACCTCTCCTACTCTCCCTCTCTCTCTCTAAAATGTCTGACAAAAGTGCCAAAACGACAGATGCTCCAGCATTCTCTCTCTCTTCGGATGAGTGTGTGTGTGTGTGTGTGTGTGTGTGTGTGTGTGTGTGTGTGTGTGTGTGTGTGTGTGTGTGTGTGTGTGTGTGAGCTCGAGGGGGATGACCGTTGTGGGCAACTTCAATGGCAGCGCGGACTGCCGCTACTTGGTGTGCTTTTGGCTTCCTCTTCCGAAAAGCGTTGGCAGGCCTCTTCCTGAAGCTTGCTACACTCGTCCCCTGCACATGAACACAGTTGCTCACCGACTGCTTACTTTCTTACACTCGGTGTTCTTACCACCTCTATCGCCTCGATCACGCGTGCGCGGTGCTCGCGGCTCACGCTGGTCCTTGCATGTGGCACACAGGCTACCCGGGCACGGCTCTGCCACGGACAGGCGAGCTATTTAACCTTGCATTACTGCCTTTTCAAGCATTTTGGCCAAGGTTGGTTGCTCCGCTGCTGGCGCTACCCAATCGTAGCTCGGCGGCAGATCAGATGGACCAATTTCATAGTTGCGTCATTGGGCCGCACCACTCACCACGAGCACACCTCCCCTTTTGTCGCTTTCTTGTAGGGCCAGTCAAGCGCCAACCCTCAGCCCCTGGCGGTGAAAGTTGCATTGCGACCCATCACCATGGCGCGCTGGGGCCTGGTGTGCGCGTTTTTGCTCCTCATCATGCCTTGCGTCACAG